TACACATAGAATATGTTTAAACATTATTTTATGTATTTGCATGTAAATAATGAATTATACATGCTAGGTATTACCTCGTAAACGATAACCCACGTGAATTAGATTTATAAATAAGTACTTTTAATAATAAGTTTAATATTTAATTATACTTATAATGCTAATATTCTTATTTTATTAATGAAGTATTTTATGTTATAAATTTGTATGTTTTTATGAAAATAAATTATTTATATTAAATTATACATGTTAAGTGTTAAAATGAAATGTTTGTATTCTTTATAATGTTAGCAATCATTGGAAAATACTATAGTTGTGAAAATGTTCGTGCACATAAGTTGACATACTTATTGACATAGACTGTACATTTCAACGGTACTACTTTGAAGTAGAGACAAATGCGTACTTTAAACTAACTGGAGGCCATTGATCTCTCTTGACAATTCTACTCAGTTCATTCGTTTAATCTTTAATTTTAAAATGATACTTTATTTGAATAAACATTGAAATCAATCTCAATATATCTTCATATAATAAATATTCATTTTTGAATTATTAATGGGTTTTTAAACGAAGTAGAAACGAATAGTATAAATTATTTTATGTAAAGTTTATATTTGGCAAAAAAAAAAAAAAAATAAAAGAAAATAAATTCTGATTTATTATTGAAAATTATTCATAAACAATAAACACATAAAATATATATTTATTGAAGAATATTTTTATTAGAAAGTAAATTTGTAATATCTATTTAAAATCACATGATAAATATTGTCTTAAAATGAATTCTAATTAATTTGGTTTAATAATTATTCAAATATTCTTTAACCCTTTTAACATTTCACAAATCTTTTTATGCTATCAAATTTATGAAATTTTCAAATGAATATTCACACAATTTATTTGAGAACAAAATAAATAATTAAATTTTGTATTTGAATTATTGATAAACATTTTATTTATGGAATTTTCAAATTAACACTAAATATACCAGTCATTTTGACTAGTGTGGTAGAAATAGGTATACTGAAAAGAAAATGGTGGTACATCTAGTGTTATTATTCATAATAAGTAATAATATTTTGAGATAAAATAAATTCAATAATTTCTCACAAAAATAAAAAAAAAATGAATAAATAAATTCTTTATTAAATTAATAAGAAATATTATTTAATATATTTAATAATATCTTATAATAATCCTTAATAATAATATTGTTTTACTTAATTCATTTTTATCAGCAGAATTATAAATAATATTAATATTATTACTGATAATTGAAGTGTAAAGTGTTATATAAAATTATTTATTATGTGTATTCAATTAAATATATATATATATATATATATATATATATATATATATATATATATATATATATATTATAAATTAAATATATAATAATTAAATAATATTAATATTATTACTGACAATTGAAGTGTAAAGTGTTACATAAAATAATCTATTATATATTCAACTAAATATATATATATATATATCATATATTATCTTACAATGAAGTATATATATATGTAATTATCTATTACATATGCAATATATATATATAATATGAATATGATATATTATATTACAATTAAGTATATGTATAATATATAAAACTTGCATATTCTAAATTTCGACGTTTAGTATAATAATAAATGACAAATCATATTAGAATTCTTGAATATTTATTAGATTATAGAATTAGAAATGATTACAACATATATATATATACATGTGGGGTGTGAGAGTGTGAGTGCGTGAGAGTTTGAAAGGTATGAGTGAGTTAAAAAGTGCCGTGTGTAATTGGACAAAGGATGACGATGAACAAAAGCAAAATGAACAACCGAATATCGCTATCAAGAGTGTCACTGAAAGAAGTAAATAAAAGAAAAACGATCGAGAATCAGTCATCGTTTAATAGCCGAGCAAAGAAGACATTTTATCATCACTTTGTATTTGTATTTCTTTATATTGAATATATATTGCATATCCGTGAAGAAGGGTTTTTCCTTCTACTCAACCTATTAACACAACACCGCGGAATTCTTTCCTTTTTTACTTGTTAGATATCCTTTAGGAAGACTAACAGGAGAAGGGGAATCCCACACACATACATATATAATTCTTTTTAACACATTAACAGCTGGCCCCGTTTCTGAGACTGTCGCTTGAGTAACTGCCTCACGATGATGTGGATTTTGTTGTTGTTGGTATAAGTGTCTTACACATCGATTTGTATTTACTTGTCACATTGTGTTGACTATTCATTGATCAGAAACAAGTGAATAAGGCCGGCGTTTGGGGTTTAAGTGGCCGATACGTTGCCGGTGCTCAGATTTTAAATGTCTCTTAGGTCACCAGCTGACAATGTATTAATATTAAGTAATCTTAATCACTTAATTTATTAATATTACTAAAAATTGGTATAGGCAATATAATTAGTGTTATCCATAATGAAAAAATGATAAAATAAACATGTCTCAATTATTAAAATGTTGTCACAGATATCAGTGATTTAATGAGGAAAAAAGGAAAACAAAATTTAGAAATAGATAATGTAAAGATAATTTTTCACATTTTTTAAATTCATTTTTCTACTATTATTAGATAATAATAATAATAATAATAATAATAATAATAATAATAATAATAATAATAATTTAAAAACTATCATTATTTTTTCTGTTACTTTCTTGTTTTTCTAATTTCTTATCAAATATATAAAATATATTAACACTAGATACATCAGCGCAGTTCATTTTGACAGGTCGGACTATTTTTAATGATTTTTGTAAATAATTAAGCGTTTTGTTATTTAAAAATGTCTACAAATTCATTAATCTATTAAAATTATTATTGTTAAACGTTTTTTGTTATTTTTTTATGAGTAAATAAAAATTGGAAGTCTCAAAAAGCATTTTTTTTGTATACACCTGTCATTTTGACTAGTGTGGTAGAGATAGGTTATAGTGAAAATGGCGGGGGTATATATCTAGTGTTAAATATATAATATAAAAAATATCTAAAATAATAACATATATTTAACAAAAAAGAAGAAGAAAAAGAAAGAAAAATAGAAATAAGAGAAATTTTTAATTATAGTAATAAAATAATAATAATCATAATCATAATAATAATTAAACCTATATCATAAATAAGTTCTCAAGTTATAACGTGTATATCTATTTGAAATGCTTACGTTACTTGTTTATTATTAGAATCAGTAACACTCTGACGCACCTTTCGATAACATGAATATTGATCGATAAAAAGAAAAATAAAAAGAAATATAACATTACATTAACATTAACATTAATATTATTATTATTATTATTATATAATCTTAAAAATACACATTACTTGTCATAAAAAAAAAAACAATAAGAATCATTTATAAAAAAATAAAAATTAGAATAAAAATAGAAATAAATCATAAAATGTAAAAGTAAAAAAGCAAAATAAACACATACACAGACACAATAAAAAAAAAAAAGATGTATAATCAACCATGTTTTTGTTATACAATCTAAAAAAAAAACAAAAGAGGTTAGTTCATCATCATAATAATAATAATAAAAAAAAAAATGTTTATTCGAGAAAAATAAAACGTTTCAAATAATAACATAATTTTATATTATTATGATGAACAAAGTAACAATTATAAATAAATAAATAAAATATATCTATACAGAGATTTTTAAATATATATATAAAAAAAAAAAATAATAATAATATAGGAACATATTTTATGAACATATGATTCATTGAATAATATCAGCTGATCGATGACCCCTATTTACAGTTTCGTACTACTTTCATTGAGACGTAATACATGAATGAAATGTTACATGTATATGTGACGAGAGGAAAAATATTCAGTTAAAAATAGAATTCCTGTGTGTGTGTGTGTTTGTATGTGTTAGTAATTCACGTATTTTAGGATTCCACGTTTGACCATTTGTGGAGATATTAGAGTGGATTAAAAAAAAAAAAAAACAAAAGACACAAATAAAACAAAATGATTAAAATAATACCTGTTGCATGTTACATTATATATATATGTGTGTCTCTGTGTGTGTGTGTAGTATATGTACAGAATAGAACAAAAGTTATTTCTTGATTATATATTATTTTAAAAATTAATTATAGTATCATTTATTGTGTCAACTTTTTTGAGGTTAATATTTGATTATTTGATATAATTAGCATGTGAAACTGCAAATCAAGAAACTGTTTGCATCATGTTATATTATATCAATACGTGATCAAATCCTTCTATATAATACAATCATTAATTTTCAAAGGAATTTAATCTATTTAAAGTAAATATAAAAAGTCTTTCTTTAAATCAAATTATTATTGATATTAATCTTTGAATTTTGATAACGATTATACAGCAGTTATCAATTAATCCACTTCATATATGATATCATATACTTGTATATATATATATATATATTTTAAAATCACAAAAAGATACTATAACTATATATATATTTTCCTATAAATATTTAACATAAAATTAATTGGAAAATAAAAAAAAAAGAAATGTAAATACAATAAATATAAAATATCAAACAAATTAAA